TCCCACCCTAACCGTGCGTGCTCGCGCCCCGGGGGCATGCAGCACGGCGATCAGTGGTGCGCTGTGTCCCTAGGACACTGCGGATCACCGCTCAGCGGAATGAGCCGATAACGTCGGCTCTGTCATGTGATCAGCTGTGTCCAATCACAGCTGATCAAATGTAAATAAGGAAATGCCGGTTATCGGCATTCCTCTCCTCATGAGCTGTCACGCTGACAGAGGAGAGCCGGTAATCGGCATCCTCAGAGGGGACATGTACACTGATCATCAGGGCACTGATGATCAGTGTAGCCCCATCAGTGCCACCTGTCAGTGTCCATCAATGCCACATGTCAGTGCCCATCCTTGCCACCTGCCAGTGTGTCTCATCAGTGTGCCACATCAATACCCACATATCAGTGCCTACCAGTGCACATCAATGCCACATATCAGTGCCAATCTGAGCTGTCTTTCAGTGCCAACTACTAGTGCCAGTTAGTGCCACCTATCAGTGCCAGTCGTGGTGCCTATCAGTGCTGCCTATCAGTGCCACCTATCAGTGCTAGTCAGTGCCGCTATCTATCCACCTGTATGACCCCATCAGTGTCACCTTTCAGTGCCTGGAAGTGTCGCCTATTAGTGCCTGTCAGTGTTGCCCAACAGTTCCAGTCAATGCCGCCTATCAGTGCCAGTCAGTGACGCCTATCAGTGCTGCCTATTAATGCCCATATGAGTGATGCCTTTCAGTGCCCATCAGTGATGCCTGTCAATGCCCATCAGTGCCTATTATTGCCAATCAGTGCAGCCTACCTGTGCCCAGCACTGCAGCCTCATTAACGCACATCAGTGAAGGAGAAAATCACTTATTTACAAAATTTTATAACAGAAACTAAGAAAAAAAATTTTTTTTTCAAACATTTCAGTTGTTTTTGGTTTGTTTAGCAAAAAAAAAACCCCAGAGGTGATTAAATACCACCAAAAGAAAGCTCTATCTGTCTAAAAAAAAAATTATAAAAATTCCATATGAGTACATTGTTGCATGACCGGGCAATTGTCATTCAAATTGCGACAGCACTGAAAGCTGAAAATTGGCCTGGCAGGAAGGGGGTAGAAGTGCCAGGTGGGCAGGAAGGGGGTAGAAGTGCCCTGTAGGCAGGAAGGGGGTAGAAGTGCCCTGTAGGCAGGAAGGGGGTAGAAGTGCCCTGTGCCCTGTAGGCAGGAAGGGGGTATAAGTGCCCTGTAGGCAGGAAGGGGGTAGAAGTGCCCGGTAGGCAGGAAGGGGGTAGAAGTGCCCGGTAGACAGGAAGGGGGTAGAAGTGCCCTGTGGGCAGGAAGGGGGTAGAAGTGCCCTGTAGGCAGGAAGGGGGAAGAAGTGCCCTGTAGGCATGAAGGGGGTGAAAGTGCCCTGTAGGCAGGAAGGGGGTAGAAGTGCTCAGTAGGCAGGAAGGGGGTAGAAGTGTCCGGTAGACAGGAAGGGGAAGAAGAAGTGTCCTGTAGGCAGGAAGGGGGTAGAAGTGCCCGTAGGCAGGAAGGGGGTAGAAGTGCCCGGTAGGCAGGAAGGGGGTAGAAGTGCCCTGTAGGCAGGAAGGGGGTAGAAGTGCCCGGTAGGCAGGAAGGGGGTAGAAGTGTCCTGTAGACAGGAAGGGGGTAGAAGTGCCCTGTAGGCAGGAAGGGGGTAGAAGTGCCCGGTAGGCAGGAAGGGGGTAGAAGTGTCCTGTAGGCAGGAAGGGGGTAGAAGTGCCCGGTAGACAGGAAGGGGGTAGAAGTGCCCGGTAGGCAGGAAGGGGGTAGAAGTGCCCGGTAGGCAGGAAGGGGGTAGAAGTGCCTGGTAGACAAGTGGTTAAGGGAATAAAATCAGTTATAGAATTTGTCCACTGCCCCTTAAACTTCAATTATTTGGACTGTTACTGTGCAGGTTCTGGTGCTGTTTGCAGTTGTTCTGAATCAGATAAACGGGTTCTTTTATTATTCTATGATATCATATTCTATGATATTACAATCTAAAATCAAACAAGCTGCCAAATATTCACAATCCATTCAGCTAATTGAGTATTTTTCTTTGAGGAATCAGTTATAACACATTCCTTTGTCCTTGTAAATGAACATAGGAGCTTCAAAAGTTAAAGAGTGCCCCCTAATGGAATCTTATATTAAACAACTTACCAAATACCAAACATACACAGCCTTTAGAAGAGTCACAGAATGCCCCCAATATATGACACAGAATGCCCCCACTATATATATCTATATAGTAGCTCTTCTCCGCTTTTTAAATACATGTCTAACTCATGGCACATTTGGTCAGTACATTTTAAATGTAATAATACAGAATGACAAATGTAGTGGATGTAGCATGTATGACACCCAGAGCATTTTTATTAACACTCCTCTGCAGTATAAGAAAAAAATGCTAACGTAACAATTGTGAACTTAAACAAATAATAATAATGGCCAGAAAAGGAACGTTGGTGAAAATTGTAGTGCCCCTTATATTGATGGTCAGTAGTAAAGTGCCCTCCTGTATTGGTTGGTGGTGTAGTGGTGCCATATATTGGTGGCTAGTCGGTGAAGGACCCCTTATACTAAAGGTCAGTGGGAGAAGGGCATTCTTACATTGACCAGTGGGAAAACTGCCCCCTTGCACAGCTAAAAAGAAAATGGATATCGGTGGTTATGGGAGTTAGAAACTCAAGGAACCCATGGCAACCTCCAGGGGCGGACTGACCATTTGGAAACCCACTGCCCCCGGGGTCAGTAGGGGGCCCCATGAGATTCCCTTGGTACCTTTTTCATAGGCTTTTTTGAGTTTGGACAAGGACACAGGGGCCCTATGATCCCCTATTGCCCGGGGGCCCCATGAGTTGTCAGTCTGCCCCTGGCAACCTCTAAAGGAACCTTAGGGTTCCATAGAACCCTGGTTGAGAAACCCTGATATATGTATAGTGTGGTCTATATGAAGATACTTAGAATGACAGAGATGGTGCATGCATAGCAGGTACTACAATATAGCACCATGTCTGCCACTACTACTAATGTCTGTACTGAAGAAGTATCTAATTTAGATCATTTTCTGTTGTGTTAAAATGAAAATAGTTATTGGATGTATTTCTTTTTCTTTTATTTTAATTTTGAAACGGTTTTGTTTATGCAACTGTTCATTGTGTGTACTTTGTAGAATGTATCTAACCCATACTCCAGGTATGTCACTCAGTCCTTTGTCACTAAGCCTTATACTAAAAATGATTGGAATTAAAGTAGAACAAAAGGCAACACTTTTTTTCATTTTGAATAAGAGTAAGGGATGGTTATAACCCCTGTCAGTTTTTTGCCATCTGTCTCTCATTGGGGAAATTTCCCTTCACCTTCTGTCCCATAGTCAAACAGGAAGTGAGATGAAATCCCTCCAAAGTAAGGGAATCCCTGGTTGTCCCCAGGGTCTCCAGAACTAGTGACCCCATTGGAAGATTTCACCTCTAATCAGGGGCGGACTGACAGCTCATGGGGCCCCCGGGCAAAAGGAGATCATGGGGCCCCTGTGTCCTTGCCCAAACTCAAAAAAGCCTATGAAAAAGGTACCAGGGGCATCTCATGGGGCCCCCTACTGACCCCGGGCCCTCGGGCAGTGCCCGAGTTTCCAAATGGTCAGTCTGCCTTTGCCTCTAATCCTGTTCTGGTGACAACCCAAAATGTGTAACTTTTTTTCACTTTCACTCTCTGTGTTAACACTAAACAGGATGACCTGAGAGTGTAAATCTTCCCTAATGAGGGCATAGACAGCAATAACAACCTGAAAGGTGTTCTATTCCCGCTCCACTGTATCCAAAACAAAACAAAAAAAGTTTTGCCTTTAGTTTTATTTAGTTATATTATAACTTATTTAGTTATAAATAAGGCTTTTAGTTAGAAATACATTTAGTTGTTCTGCACATAGAGACACACATTTATAGGGAAAGTTGATCCAGGGAATATCCGATTGCCTTTCGGGGGATCAGGAAGGAATTATTTCCCTGCAGGAGCAAATTGGATCGTGCTGTGCTGGGTTTTTTTTTTGTCTTCCTCTGGATCAACTGTGGGTGTAGGATTATAACTTTTTTTTTATGGTTGAACTGGATGGACTTTTGTCTTTTTTCAGCCAGACTAACTATGTAACACCCACACTCGTAAGAAAGTTCTTTGCAAACCTTTATAAATTACATTATTTATGTGTGGGGTCCTTTAGGTCCGGTTCACACAGTCCAGATGCGTTCCGTATGTGTTCCGCATGCACGTTTTTCACGCGTTCTGGTGTGTTTTTGATGCATTTTTGACGCGTTCCAGTGCGTTTTTATGCACTCCAGTTCATTTTTTCCCCTCTCTTTTTCTTCAACTTAAATAGGGACATGTGTGTTCCAGGGCGTTTTTTGGTGCATTCCAGTGTGTTCCAGTGCGTTTTGGATGCGTTTTACCGTGTTCCAGTACAGTTCTGTGCAGAAAAAATGTAGCATGTTCTATTTTTGTTTCTATTCTGCAACTGGAACGCCCTGGAACTGCAAGCACTGATGTGAACTATGACATTGACAACCATATAATCTACTTTCTGTACGTTTTGGATGCAGAAAAACAAGCAATTGAAATTATTATTATTATTATACAGTATTTATATAGCGCCAAAGGGTTTGGTCAACGCTGAAATGCATGTAGTGTGAACTGGCCCTTAACCTCCTCAGCGGTATGATTATTTCTGATTTTTTTGTGCTGAAAGCGGTACCATTATTTTGCATGGAAATATGTAGTTTTTTTATTGTAGGCTGTAATTTTTAGGAATAACTCACTGAAATCTGTCCGAACAAGAGTCTAGTAAACATCCCGGTAGGATAAAATTTGAAACACGAAATCATAAATTATAATTTAATAAATAATCATAAAAAATAATAATATAATAATAATAAATTGAATTCAATAATATAATCAAACCAAAAACACTGAAATTTGAAATACAGAGGCAAATTTGCACATCGCTGAGCAAAGTCGCAAAATCGTTTTCAGTGTCTGATGACGAATTTCCCCCACGAATCATTATCACTCAATTCTGCAAGTGGTTCTGATTTACTATCGCTGTTCTCTAGCCGGTCTAAAACCGCGTCTGACCTAAAGGGACGCTTTTTGGACGCCATGGACTTTTCTAAGTTTCCAGGCAGAAAGAACAGACAAAATGCAGGCAGGGAGCAGGACAAAGCACTCGGGACAAAATGTATGTGAAATGCATTGAAACAGCAATGTTTTACTATGTAATAGTCATTTTAAAAAAAATGAAACTTTTTAAAAATTTTAAATTTGCCGCTGGTCCCGGCGCCCGTACGTCCCGACGTCACAGGGACCGGAACACAGAAGCCGGATGCCGGCATCGGCCAGAGGAGATGGCCGGGGACGCTGCAGGGGACACATTGTGGGAGCGAAGGACAAGGTAAGCTCTGCAGGGACCCCCAGAGCAGCGCCGCATGGTAAGCCCGAGTGTAGCTCGGGGTTACCGCTTTTGGTACAGAAATTTTACCCCCGAGCTACACTCGGGAATACCGCTAAGGAGGTTAATCCTTAATAATGCATATGAAAATAAAACAACATCAAGATATGATGGTTAAAATTATTTAAGTCTGCCATACATAGAATGAAAATTCAGTCAGTCTAGCAGGGACAGGACGAATATCAGTCCATGTATGGACAGGCTAGTTGTACACCAGTCGATTGACTTGTGTACACAACCAGACTACTGGGGTTTTCCCAAAAAAATCAGTAGATCAGTGCCGATGGCTATAACCGGCAACACTGATCATTGCATTCTGACGGCAGGGAAGGCTCCCTGCTATCAGAATACAAAGGCTCAGCAGAAAGGATTCCCCGATCCACATCAAATATGTGGATGAGGGAAATGGCTTATTGTTTTTCCTTCAACATGCTGTTTGCTTTAATGCAGTACTCAACCCATAACCAAAATTGTAATATATCGCAGCTTACTAATCACTAGATGTGGTGGCTTCATTAGTTTTCTTTATTAGGCTCTGTTTTCACCTGATGATCTGGCCAGTAAAATACCTCCAAAATTAGAGTGTCCCCACTCTGGATGAATGAACACAGAGGGCATAGCAGACAGTAGTATTGTCATCCTGGATGGGGGATGGGTGTTGAGTGTCGGTCCACGCTATCCACACCTTACACATCTTTTGCAAGGGTGCTCACCCAGCCTGAATACTGTACACTAGGTAAAAAAGAAGTCCCGGACGTTCGCACTCCAACTTGATCAACTATTCTTATGAACAATTGCTAATGAGCGAAACGCGTCAACATTGCTTTTTCTTCCCCATGGTATGTTGTTCTGCCTTTTGAATTTATAAATATATGAATAAAGTGGATAAAGTTGGAGTGCTACTGTCTGGGACTTCTCTTTTACTTATTGTAAGACCCCAACAGTTTAAGTGGTTTGTCTCATCCCTGTAAACTGATACATCAGTAAGAGAGCTGTAAGCAAAAACAAAAGACTTACTGGCTAGATCACCAGATGAAAGTAGAAGAAAGATAACCTAAAAAAGAAAATAAAAGCATTCATCACTTCTAAGAATTGTTAAGCTGCAATATAATAAATGTTTGCTTTCTGGTTTAATAATGCTTTAAAACATGGAATATCAGCAATCATCATTTTTAAATATACAGTATCTCACAGAAGTGAGCACACACCCCTCACATATTTGTAAATATTTTATTATATCTTTTCATGTGACAACACTGAAGAAATGACACTTTGCTACAATGTAAAGTGGTGAGTGTACAGCTTGTATAACATGTAAATTTGCTGTCCCCTCAAAATAACTCAACACATCGCCATTAAGGTCTAAACCGCTGGCAACAAAAGTGAGTCCACCCCTAAGTGAAAATGTCCAAATTGGGTCCAAAGTGTCAATATTTTGTGTAGCCACCATTATTTTCCAGCACTGCCTTAACCCTCTTGGGCATGGAGTTCACCAGAGCTTCACAGGTTGCCACCGGAGTCCTCTTCCACTCCTCCATGACGACATCACGGAACTGGAGGATGTTAGAGACCTTGAGCTCTTCCACATTCCATTTGAGGATGCCCCACAGATGCTCAGTAGGGTTTAGGTCTGGAGACATGCTTGGCCAGTCCATCACCTTTACCCTCAGCTTCTTTAGCAAGGCAGTGGTCGTCTTGGAGGTGTGTTTGGGGGTCGTTATCATGTTGGAATACTGCCCTGCGGCCCAGTATCTGAAGGGAGGGATCATGCTCTGCTTCAGTATGTCACAGTACATGTTGGCATTCATGGTTCCCTCAATGAACTGTAGCTCCCCAGTGCCGGCAGCAGTCATGCAGCCCTAGACCATGACACTCCCACCACCATGCTTGACTGTAGGCAAGACACACTTGTCTTTGTACTCCTCACCTGGTTGCCGCCACACTCTGGACACCATCTGAACCAGATAAGTTTATCTTGGTCTCATCAGACCACAGGACATGGTTCCAGTAATCCGTGTCCTTAGTCTGCTTGTCTTCAGCAAACTGCAGGCTTTCTTTGCATCATCTTTAGAAGAAGCTTCCTTCTGGGACGACAGCCATGCAAAGCAATTTAATGCAGTGTGTGGCGTATGGTTTGAGCACTGACAGGCCGACCCCCCACCCCTTCAACCTCTGCAGCAATGCTGTCAACACTCATACGTCTATTTCCCAAAGACAGCCTCTGGATATGATGCTGAGCACGTGCACTCAACCTGTCCTGTTAAACCGCTGTATGGTTTTGGCCACCGTGCTGCAGCTCAGTTTCAGGGTCTTGGCAATCTTCTTATAGCCTAGGCCATCTTTATGTGGAGCAACAATTCTTTTTTTCAGATCCTCAGAGTTTTTTGCCATGAGGTGCCATGCTGAACTGCCAGTGATCAGTATGAGAGAATGAGAGCGATAACACCAAATTTAACACACCTGGGAGGGAAAATGGCTAAATGGGACCAATTTGGCCATTTTCACTTTGGTGTGACCGTCCTTTGCCTTCATAACAGCATCAATTCTTCTAGGTACATTTGTACACGGTTTCTGAAGAGACTGGGCAGGTAGGTTATTACAAACATCTTGGAGAACTAACCACAGATCTTCTGTGAATGTAGGTTGTCTCAAATCTCTTCATGTAATCCCAGACAGACTCGATTATATTGAGATCGGTACACTTGCACACAGTTTTTTGATGGAACTCAAGATAATATGGAGAACTAACCACAGATCTTCTGTGAATGTAGGTTGACTCAAATCTCTTCATGTAATCCCAGACAGACTCGATAATATTGAGATCGGTACACTCGCACACAGTTTTTGATGGAACTCAGGAGGTAGGTTGTTCCAAACATCTTGGAGAACTAACCATGGATCTTCTGTGGGTATAGGTTGCCTCAAATCCTTCTGTCTCTTCATGTAATCCCAGAGAGAATTGATGATGTAGAGATCAGGGCAATGTAGGGCCCAAATCATCACTTCCAGGACTCCTTGTTTTCCTTTACACCAAAGATAATTCTTAATGAGATCGGCTGTATGTTTGGGGTCATTGTCCTTCTGCAGGATAAATTTGGGGCCAGTCACACGCCTCCCTAATGGTATGGCATGATGGAAAGTATAGCCCTGTATCTTGCTGCATGGTGGAGGTTCCTTGCAAGTTTAGGGCTGCATTTCTACAAATGGAGTTGGAAATTTGGTCAGGATGAATGGTGTCCTTAACAATTAAAAATACAGGCAGATACTTATCTATCATGCTATATCGTCAGGTAGATGTGGCCCCAAATTTATTTGGCAGCAGAACAATGACCCCAACCAAACAGCCAATATCATTAAGAACTATCTTCAGCGTAAGGAACAACAAAGAGTCCTGGAAGTGATGGTTTGGCCCCTATGTTGTCCTGATCTCTACATCATCAATTCTGTCTGGGATGACATGAAGAGACAGAAGGATTTGAGGCAACCTACACCAACAGAAGATCCATGGTTAGTTCTCGAGGATGTTTGGAACAACATACCTCCTGAGTTCCTTCAAAAGCTGTGTGCAAGTGTATCTAGAAGAATTGATGCTGTATTGAAGGCAAAGGATGGTCACACCACATATTGATTTGATTTGTATGTTTCTTCTGTTCATTTACTTTCCGTTTTGTTAATTGCTAAAAATAAACTGTGAATATTTCTGTTTTTGTATTTCAATATTTTTATTGAAATTATTGGAAAATGACACATATATCAATCAGACAGAGGTAATTTCATAATTAAAAGGATCGCAGAAGACCTAAGTCTAACATCCAATTAGGAAGCATGAAGTAAACCATCACTAGGTAGGCAATCAGTCCTAGTAGTATGATCTCAGACAAATACTCTCATATGAAATGAGAGTTAAAAAGTATCAATAAAAGCTAAACAACTCATACCCGATCTGCAAGGGACCAGGAATATAACAATTCCAAACAGCAAATACAATGTCAATGGTATGAAAAATTGCAATAACAGATGCACAATGGAGAGAAAACGGGGAGGGGAAAAAGGGTGGGGGATGGAGGATAAAGGATAGGGGATGAACCACTGTCTGCTTGTCTGAGAACATAAATGAACCTAGAGCCACAAAAGTCCCCAAAGACCACTTAAATCAATCTACCTAATTTAATAAGAAAAGAAAAAGGAAAAAGTAAGGGGAAGGAGGGAAAAGGAAAAGCCCAGAAAAAGGAAAGAAGGGGGTCAACTTGGGACCCGTTAAGGACCCCCCAAAGATCCCATGTTCTATTAAACTTCTTAGTATTGTGATGAAGAATACAGGTGAGTCTGTCATTGACCATAATCCAATTCTACTTAACCTTTACATAGTCAAGCTGGACCACTGAACATTTCTATTTCTGAAAGCATTCTTCATTTACAGCATTTTCACACACCTGCCCAAACTTTTGTACAGTACTGTTTACCTCAGTACAACTAGTAAGGGAATAAATGTATTCCCCTTGGCTGCTCAGATCCAAATCTGATTGTATCAAGCCTAATTAACAAAAAAACTGCGATAAATAAGTACAAATATAGCCTTATCAATTTTGAGTTATATATAAACACTGTATAATACTCTATATATAAACAAAGTATATAAAGAAAAACACAGACACAATCCCCCACACATTGCAAAAGTGCATGAAAGTGCATAGATGGTGTTAAAGTGCTGATCAAT